GAGTCAGCATCTTCAAGTTTGCTGTTCATTAACATTTCTTTGGGATGGGCTACCTTCAAATCGGTTGGGGGCTGTTTCCTGGACTTCATTAACATTCCAGGAGAGATGCTCAACTTTTCCGGGAATTCATTCTCAACATGGCCTCCATTTTAGATTTCACTCCATATTAGACCTGATTTACCTAACTACACTGACTACCTAATTTTAAATCTGGCTTCATAGGGCTGGGGGTATAGTCTTCAGTGGTAGATCATGTGCTTACCATGTGGAAGACTTTTGGGTTCAATCCCCAGCACCTAAAAGTTTAAAGAAAAAAAAAAAAGCCATGTATGGTGGCGCATACCTGAATCCCAACAACTTGGGAGGTCGAGGCAGGAGGATTGCAAGTTCCAGGCCAGCCTCTGCAATATAGCAAAGCCCTAAGCAACTTAGTGAGACCCTGTCTCAGGTAACAGATAAAAAAGGGCTGGGCATGTGGCTCAGTGGAAGCTTCCCTAGGTTCAATTCCTGATAACAAAACAAAAAGCAGCATAGAATGCAAACACATAATGCAGGAATGTAGGACTTTGGAGAGTTTTTGCTTCTGTGTATCTGCATGGGCAGATTCTCAGATAAGTAATGGGTTGAGGCATGAAATGCCATTTCTTAGTGTGACTTGTGATTTTAAAATGGAGCTGGCACAGCAGCCCAGGCCTATAATCCTAGCTACTCAGGGAGCTGAGGCAGGAGGATCGCACGTTTGAGACAGTCTGAGCAATTTAGTAAGACCCTGTCTCAAAAAATGAACAGGGCTGGGGATGTAGCTTGGTGATGGATGGCTCCTGGGTTCCATACCTTGTGCCACAAAATACATACATACATATGTGAAAGTTAGGGCTCTGGAAACAGGAGTGGAGACAGAAGTGTGCCCTGTGTGTGTGTGTGTGCGGAGGGACCCTGTCCATCTGACTTCTAGGAGTGCCAGCATCCGTGGGTCCATCCCTTTAGCAGGAAGGGAGAGATGGCAGTTTTGACCCAGATCCCTCATCTCCAGAACATCTTCATACTTCCACAACCTTTCCGTGTAAATCTGTCAAAATCTTTGGATTGAGCTTTCCAGGTCCAGGTGACCAGCACCACCTTGTCCCCATTCCTGGTCCTCTAGAGACCACGCGGGGAGGCAGAGGGCGGGAGCAGGAGTCAGGACAGCCAGTTGGGTTTTCTCCTCCCAGTTTCCACTATTTGGCAGAACCTTGAATGGGGGGATGGGGGGGACAGAAAAAACTAGAAAGCTCGACTTCTGCCACCAGGCCCGGAAGCCCCGCTGTGGCCCCAGCCCGCGGTTAGCCCCTGTTTGTCATTTTGCAAATCTGTTCAACCCACCTCCGGTGAAAACTCCCAGCCTCACCCCGGGAGGCAATGACTAATTACAAAACACATTTTCTCTCCTTTCCGCCGGGCTCGGTCCCCGCCCACAACGCCCCCGCCTGTCCCAGCGCGCCACAGACCGCCGCGCCGAGCCGCGGGACCCGCTGAATGAACTCTTGGCCCGGCCTCCTCCGCAGACCTCGCCCGGGGTGCTTTCCGCCCTGCTCCGCGTTACTTTCGCTTTCTAGTCACTCTCGCTCGCCCTGGAGCTCCTAGCCCCGGTCCTTTCTCAAGGTGTGGGGGCCACCGCTGAGACCCGGGTGCCCCTAAGTCAACAGTTGTCAGCAAATATTTACCCGGCACTTTCCGTTCCAGGTTCTAGGTGTGCAATGGGAGCAAGACAGAGGAGGTTCTTGCACGGACAGCACTTCTAGAAGCCTAGGATGCAGGGATTTCAATCCAAAGATTAAAAACAGTGGACAAAGGCCCTGCGGCTTAATACACAGTGCTAGAGAAGCGCGCATGCGTGCTTGGTGTTAGGGACAGCCTGGACAGCCTTGGGGGAGCCAGGGAGGGTTCCCTGGACCGAGAGGAGTCTGGACAGAGGCCTGTAGGATGACTTGGAGTCAGCTTTTAGCCATGCAAACAAGGGTTCTTCCAGGCCAGCGAACAGCCTGTGAGTGGTGCCATTTCAATAAGGCTGGCTGGAGCCGCAGGATCTGGGTAGCATAAGGAGAGGGAGGAGCCCAAGCCAACAGGACCTTGAACGCCTCCTAAACCATTTGGACTTTTTCCTGAGGGTAATGGGGCGCCCTTGAAGGATCTCATGTCAGAGTGACATATTGCTCAGAATGGAGTTGAAGGGCAAGGGTAGATATAGGTCAGGAGGCTGATGTTTGGGAGAGGGGAATGGACCCAAGAGATGTTTAAGACACAGGAAAATGGGATGTGGAGGTTAGGTTAGGTTCTGCATGAATGGTGCCCCCCCTCCTTCCCTGCAGGAGAAAGAGCTGGAAGGAGAGAAAGGTGAAACAACAAGGATCCCCTGGGACGAGTTGAGTTTTAGGTGCCTGTGGGACACCAGGCCACTGACTATGGAGTTCTGGGCCCCTGATATGTGGGGGCAGAGTTCTGGACTGATCACCATCTGCATTTGGAGGTAATTGGAGGCTATGTTTGAGGTGAGGGGATAGGAAAATGAAAGGTCTGGGCCATGAGCCAGACAGGGGGAAGGATGGCAGGCATGGATAGAGGGGACA